CTACCCTCACACATAAATCATTACAGTGTGAGTTACCAAGGCAAGGAAAAGCAAGCGCTGTCCGCTCTGCCAGCACCGATTCAACTCGCTTTACTGGCCATTGCATGCTGCAGAAATCCTCCTCAGAGGAAACAGTGATGGCAGAAGCGATTGACCTGCCAACCCTTCTGTGACGGCTGCGTGTGAGGGAGGTCGACAGCATGAAGGGTAGCAGGCATTTGATTAAAGCTTCTGCCCTATTTGTGGAAAGTAGAATAATTCCAGATGAGAGGACTCGCACTGACTTGTTAGGGTCACAGACAGAAGGCTCCAGGAGCTTGGCCGCTTCGTCCAGAGGGATCCACAGAATATAAATCCTCTGTGTTTGCTCTACAGCACACGGCACAACGATCTACTTTGTCTTCAGTGTGGCTTATATTGATCGAACAGGATTTGATTGTTTCATTTAAGACCATCTAACAATGTTCTTTATGTAAAGAGGCATTATTGGGATTACCTATTTGGCCACTGAATAGGGAAGAGTCATCTGCAGAGTTGTTGTTTGGGCACACCTTAAAGGGATATTCCAGGGTAATATTAATTTGGGGTCAAACACACAATAACACTGAGTTAGACACCCCCCTCGAGAGATGAATGTTGCAGACCGTTTGCTTCTCTAGTTATACCAACTTTAGTAACGACCGCACAATAGCAATACACAGCGGTCTAGCGGTGATGAAATGATCATAAATGTTCTTCCTTGAGCTGCGTCACCCCGCAGCAGTCCGTAATGGATTGGCCCAAGGTCTTGCTACAACCAAGTGGCTGCTGGAAGAGAGTAGGTGAGTTGTGTTTAGTCTCTTTGCTAAAGAAATAAGGGAAAGCTAAAAAGATGTTTGGTGGCTTGGACCCTATATGTACTGTTGATGAAGTTAGGTGCTGTTCTGAGCATTATTTGTGGCTATAGAGTGGCGTTTTGGTTGAGGTTTGTGTGTTTGGCTCCTCAGACCGCTGTGTATTGCTATTGTGGGGTCGTTACTAAAGTTGGTATAACTAGAGAAGCAAGCGGTTGGCAACATTCATCTCTCAAGAGGGTGTCTTACTTGGTGTTTGACTCTAAATTAATTTTACGCCGGAATATCCCTTTAAACTTTCCCTGAGTTTACCTCTATTCATGCAGATTTAATCAAAGATAGGTCATGTTATCTACTGTCAAATTATCAGTTCACAAACTATTCATAACAGTGTTTTTTATTAAAGATAATCCTTTCCCATTGTTGTCAAAATTGTAAAACAAGCTCATAATTTTTCTAAATGTCAAATGACTTGAACATTGTTCTGAAATTTGATTCTGTTTTTACGCTTCTTTTAACAGAAAAAGTCAAAACTACAGTAAAACTTTAAACATGGACTATTTGCCAATGTTAAAGGTGGTGCGTAATATTTTACTCCCTGGTCACATTGATCTTTCATTTCATCCAATCACCCTCTTCTGTATCTCATTAAAACCAAAGTCTTTGCAATGGCTCATTGGCATTTATCAGCTTTCCTCTGACTCAGCTGAATTTCCATTTATTCTTGTCCCTTACCCTTTTGTCTGCCTACATTAGAATAATGTAATCTCGTTTCATAATTTTCTTCCCGTCAGCCCCCCTGATTGGTTCTGGTTACATTTGTAGGACTCTGCCCTCGCTTTGTCTTGAACCGTGGACTTGGTCGCTTAACAGCTGAGAAATGGAAATGTTGCTGCACTTATAACAATGTATCATTACTCCAGTGTCAAATTACGTGGTTGGAGAACAGCTTTTATCTTGCCGGTTCTCCACAGAGGTGACGTGGCACACCATAAATGCCTGTGGCTAGTAATAGGACTGGGTGCAATATGAATAAAAATAAAAGCCGAGGTGATTGTGTTTTTTTAACTCTTCAACCTTGCCTGAGCTCAACGGGGTGCGAAGCATCAATTTCTGTCTCAAGTTTCTCATTCCAACAGCTATCAGTATGGAAATCAAATTGCTCCACTTCCTGTTTATGTTTCCTTAAAAAATGGGATGCTGCTTTGGTTACTCACCCTCTCATTGATAATCCCATCAGCCGCCTTCAACGGCATCTGACATATTGAATACCCTCGGTGCCGCTGGTGTGGCTTGGTGGCAATTTATGTGTTGATGGGCAGACGCAATCCATAAGCAGATCCCTGGACTCAGATGTTATAGTGGACCCTCCTTATGGTGGCCCAATCAATAAAGCAATGGGAAATGCCTCTTTTCTTTAGACCAGGAGCCAATCAGAGAAGAGAGAAAACAGGAGTTTAAAAACCAAAGAGGAGGTTGGTGGTGGGGGGAGGTACCTACGACTGAAAGCCACTACTGGAAGAACTTAAGCCTTATGGGAATATTGGATAGCTTACCACTGCACTAACTAAAGGGGAAAGGGAAAAACCGATCCACTTACACTTTAGTATCCGACACAGGCTGTAACCAAGAGTTGACCTTGTTTCTTTCCAGGGCAAGGAAATGTTCATTGAAAGGATTGATTTTGTGTCCTCTCTGTTAGATCTGTCCAAAGCTTTGAGTGTTAAAAAAAAAAAGGGCGTATCTGGACTGTTTTTCATGAAGTGGATTAAGTAAATGGTTCTGCTAGGACCATTTCTTAGGGTAGCTACTCATAAAGTCCTTCAGATTTATACTTCACAAATATAAAGTTAAAAGTTTCGGACAAGGCTACCATTATAAACTATGTATTCTCATCCCTGCTTAGGTAACACCAAGCTGGGTATGGATGACTTATTGACATTGGTGGTTGCCTTGTTTCCCTCTTTCCTCATAGCTCTGCTACAGGTATTTATGTCAATACAATATTATTAAAAATCATCACCTAGAATGAAAAACGCCCAGATTTTATGTAAATTTATTGAACTGGTTACCTTGGTAACGGCCAGCAGGACAATTTAGCTTGCATGCCAAACTAATTGCATACAGGACAAAAAGTAAATGAAATCTGAGTTCCCACACGTCCACAAGACAGAAGCTGACCACGCACAGAACATGTGTTTCCTGTCATAGCAACCAACATCCATATAGTGGTGTTGAGGGAATATGGTCTTTATCATAACTTTTTATTATTGTTGCTGTTTTTGATGACTAAAGAACCATCACCTGTCACAAATGTCTTTACATATCATAAGTAATAAATAACTCTTCATATCTTCAGGAACTGGCATCAGTACAAACAAAAGCTCAAACTTTGAGTATTTAACAAAAGTGAACAGAGTCGCTGCTGAGCACAGTCACCTAAACCTTCTTCTCATTTAACCTCGACGTTTCATTAAATGGCCTTTTCCCACCTGGAGCTTTTCCTAATATAAATAGGGGTAAATAGAGCATCTCTGAGGCCTCCTCAAGGTTCATGATCAATCCTCAGACTAAAGAGCCAGGACTTTTGTAAGCCCCCCTCATGGTGTCAGTATCATTAGTTAGTAGGACTGAATTAGCAGCAGAAAATAGGAAGGGTATCTCTATGGTCATTTCTATTCTAAAGTAAAATCTGTAATCTTTAAAATTGTAGTTCACACTTCTGGGTGATTTACAGTATCTCTTTACTGCGTGACTGATTTGAATCCTTGAGCATAATGACTTGTCATCAGTTTTCCAGTGAGGATACAACCAAAGAAGAAATCCCCTTAAACTCCTGTATAATGTATTAATACCAAAACACAGACAATAGGGCTGTTTTCCCAGCCTCTGTAAATTAAAAAACAAATAAGTCTCCTTAGGTAGCTGCTACAAGTGTCGGTTGTTCTTGCAGTTCCCAAGCAGAGAGAAGCATGGCACTGAGCAGCAATCAGCATCTTTGTGTTGTCTTTTTTCCCTCCTCCCTTAGTTGAACTAAAAGCTAGTTGTTGCTTCTTTGGAGCAATAGCACCAGCAGCATCTATCTCCTCCCTGGTAACCATTGCCACTTGCATTGCAGAGCTTTATTCAGCTTGCAGCTGCTTCTTCAAAAGCACAAAGTCCTTGACATCTGACAAGCTTTTGTCTCCAGTGCAACATCAGTTTCTCTGAGATGTTCCTTTTTACCATAAACCTCAAACTAATGGGAAAATCTCCATGAAGTAAAAGCAGATTACTTGGTAACAGATTACTTTGGGGAATGAGTAAATTTATAACAGATTACATAAAATGCTCGCTATGTTACGACTGAAAAAATCAAGTCAAATCAAGTGAAAAATCAAGTGACAGAGGCAAACGTCCATTGCTCACAATCTGTGCAAGTTGATTTTAGAATTTCGAGAGGGTGTCTGTCGCTCACTTAAAACTCATTCTGGACTAAGAAACACAACTTCAAAATCGCCACTTACATGCCTGTGACTGTGTTAAGATTTCAAATTAAATTCGACCTTAACATCAATGTTTCTTAAATGTCTTTGAACAGTCGGTGAAAACAAACTCTCATTCGAATTGCGTGGCTTTTCAACCGTGTCACTGCTGGGAAAACGCTCACTGGGCAGAAAGTTTAAAAATGCAGAGGCATATAGCTCTATGTTTAAAGCACACTAAAGCGGACTGGAAATGTCCCCTGAGTCAGCTGTTGAATGATGCTATAGCTGTACGTCGAGCTCTCAAGAACCCCTACCCCGCTCTTTCACATCCTCTTTCAGATCCGGCGTACATTCCTCCACTCTTGAAACCCCCTTTGCGGGATATCATCTGTATTTTTCATACGCCTCCTTCAGCGATATAAATTGCCGGCTGCATCAGTCGCTATCATGCATACCCTGGAGAGAAACAGAAAGAGCAAGAACGATGGAGAGAGCACACGCTGAGAACAACCTAGTGTGTGTACGTGTGTTTGTCAAGCACACTTACGTAGAGATGAGTAGGTGTGTGTAATTTCTGAGTACTTTCACGTTTTCTTCTGGGTGAATGTATGTGGGCACACATGGCTCGAGTACGTGCACCACCCTAGTGTGTGTGCGTGTATATAAACGCAGTGAGCGGGATTTAACAGCACGTGTCAGCATGTGGGTGGTTAAAGACATGTGGCTGCTTGATTATACATTTTGCGCGCTGAGTCTGTATCAAAAAGTACGGGCACAGAAACCAAGAGCAGGTCGCTCTCAGACGAGCACCGGTCCAGCACTTGACTGCAGAAACGTCAAAGAAGAAAGAGTGGAGAGGAAAGGAAAAGGAAGAAAAGCAAGACAGGGGCATGAGAAGGGAAAGGAGGAGGAGGAGGAGGAGGAGGAGTGTGTTCACATGCGGAGGCGGCAGGCAGCTCATGCTGGCTGGTATTCTTGATGTAATTTGTGCGCGACGGTAATTGAATGTACAGTCAGATGAACAGGATGCCCAGAAGATCTGACTTCCCACACAAGCAAGCGAGGAGTTGGTTGTGTTGGCAGCATTTGTACTGGATGTGTGTCTGATGTGAATTTTACCAATCAGTTGCGTGATTACACAGTTGATTACAAAATAAAAGCTCGGTCCTTGTGGCAGAAATTTGGTGCTTGTCTCCTTCTTTAACCCCTTTGTGAGATATTTTTGTATATCCCTGTGATGCTGCTTTAATGCTCGCACTGTTTAAGATCCTTTTATGTAATGTTTGACCTTATTCAGAAATATATTCATGCTATTTATTTAATGTAACAAGGTGTGACTAATGTTCAGTGGGATGATCCTGCATGTGAAAAAAAAACAAAAACGTGTGATGGATTACAGATGTATAGGAAACACCTCGTTGGGTTAATCTGTTGCTGTTGAAAATTGACTCCTCCAAAGGATCACATCTTCAAGGGGATGATTTCAAACTCCCATGGGCCTCCAACAGAGACGAATCAAGCCCACTCTGTTAATCCCTTGTTCCAGAATTATAGGCAGAATAAATCATTAATCATACAACAACTACACACATCGTTTCATGTTTTTGTTCACTTTCTTCTTAAAAATAAAAGAACTCCTGTCTGACAGCACCACCGTACAGATCTGCCAATAGCTAGACGATGTTGCTAGCTCACTGGTGCTATTTTCTCATGCCATCGCTGCCAACTTGAGCATTTCTATGGCAACGGCAGAATCTCTAATGGGTGATAACTCACAAAAGATTGTGGGTTGTGTGGTGTTTCACAAGCAAACTCATAAATAAAAGGCAACGAATTGGACTGGGATTGACTAATGGCTTGTACAGGAGCATACAGTTGTTGCACAGGCTGATAGCCTGAGTCTGCTGTTGCTAATGGTCCTGTATCATTAAGTTTTAATGGTTTTATTTTCATGTAAGGCACAGCTCGGGCTGATACAAATGGTCTTTGAGATGTTTGGCGGAAGCAGGTGATAAAGTTGGACGGCTATGAAATTAATCTAAAAAATGAACCATACTCTGATATTCTGGGGAAGGCAACAAAAAACAATCTTTCATTCACTGTTTGAACCTAAATGAGAATAAACAATGAAGTAGACGCTCCCTCATCTAAGGTACCAGTTTAGGATCAGATGCATTCATACTCATCAGTGACATTTTGTTTGTTTCCACTCAAGAAACTCTGCAACTTCCTCTCTCCATCATGCATGTTTATTTCTGCTTAAAGGGATATTCCGACGTAAATTTAATATAGGGTCAAACACACCATAACACCGAGTTAGACACCCCCTGGAGAGATGAATGTTGCCGACAGTTTGCTTCTCTAGTTATACCAACTTTAGTAATGACCGCACAATAGCAATACACAGTGGTCTGAGGAGCCATAAACAAACCTCAACCAAAAAGCCACCCTATAGCCACAAATAATGCTCAGAACAGCACCTAACTTCATCAACAGTACATAGAGGGGCCTAGCCATAGCGCTAGCCACCAAACCTTTCTTTAACTTTGCCTAATTTCTTTAGCAAAGAGACTAAACACAACTCGCCTACTCTCTTCCAGCAGCCGCTTGTTTGTACAGAGACCTCAGGCCAGTCCATCCACCGCAGCGGGGTGACGCAGCTCAAGGAAGAACATTTATGATCATTTCTTCATGGGAATGCAATCAGACCGAGACGCTAAGGCAAAAGAACTACCACGTCTGCAGTGCAAAATGATTAATATGATGATTGTTACTTCAAGGAAATGATAAAGTAATGATCTTTACACACTTATAACATCCCACTTTTCATGTGAATGTCTCAGAGGTTTGTACAAGATGCCCCACAGCAGCTGTATGACAAGGCCAAGATTGGATCACTGTGAGTGGTGGAGCAAGCAGGGCGAAACAGTGCTGTGTGTGTGGAAGAGGAGCTCCTGCAACAACAACACAGTACACCAGCTGACAACCTGCCTGTCATCTGTTTGGCTAAAGTCAGAATGAGCATATTATTTAAACAGCTTTGTTTTGTCTTGTTGCTTCCTTTGCAGCTCCTCGTTTTATGCAGTGTCTGATTCTACCACTGTCAATTATTTCCAATGTCATCTCTGTTCTGTTCTGGGGTTTTGCTGCTGCTCTTCCTGCCTTGGCTTTTCCTGTATGCAAATAAAACAGCGAGGAGGTGTGCTCTCCCAGCTGCAGGCTTTGGCATTCCTTTCTGAGAGCCCACCGAATGGAGTCATGCCGCCAAATTAAACTAACACATGCAAATTGTTAACTCTTTTGACGAAAGCAGTCCGGACTGAACTCAATGTCAAATCACTCGTTGCACCACTTCTATTACAACATCACAGGATCAAAACTACCAAGGTGAACTACCAAGGTAAAATGACAGCAGAGCTGCACTGTGGCGCTTTCGCAGACACACAAAATGAAAAGAGCTTTCATTCAAAGAAATAAATCTGTTTGCATGCTTTTTAACACACCATGAAAAAGGTATTTCCATATCCCTTTTACAGTGTTTTGCTCATTTTCGTCTGTTTGTAAACTACCAAGCCCAGACTGTTGAATGTCCTTTTTTCCTTCAATGTAAGTCTGTTAAATGCTGTAAAGATTAAAGTCCTTGAGAAAAACTCATCCTTAAAATTGCAGCTTTTTTCAAAAATGGAGACATGGTTTCAAATTGACAGAGCAAACTGTATGTGTGAGGCTTCACTCGCTGTGTATTAACTTATTTTCTCACTGTATTGTTATTTATAGCGTGATTGTGTAAGAACCAAACAGACCTAAGATCCAACAACTCTTGGTTTACAAATCTGTGGGAGGTCATTTGCCAATCTCCTCTGTCTTTCTTTTTACAGCACACAGTATGCCTACACTCGTATCGTAGGCTACCCTCGTCTCTCACAATCCACCCCCTTCACACTCACACTCACATACACAGGCTCACACACACACCATTATCCCCATACAGGAAAAAGGCTGACTCACTGCCGCTTCATTACTCAAGTGAGTTATGGGTGTGTTTACACACACACTGATTGATATTAACCCTCTTTGTTTAAATCTCCCTCACCAACAGACAGCGGACCGGGGCCAGGCAGCGGGTTGGTCTACTTGCAGGATTGTGTTGGGGATGGGGGGAGGCAAGAAGGGAGGAAAGGAGGGAGGGGCCAACTGACCAAAAAGCTCACAGTGCCCTCTACTGATGACTGACTGTAAAATCACCTGGAGCTATCTCTGCACCCCTGTTGGTTTTCCTCATCTGGTTCCCTCGCTGTCACAAAATAATTAAAACCTGTGAAAAGCCTCTCTTTAAAATAAAAGCCTGCTTGAAATGCTCAATCAGTCATTATTCAAAAAACTGGTTCCTTCCCTTTTTTTCCTCCAAGCTTTGTTGCGGGGATGATTTCACTACACAGACCATCTGTGATGTGATGTCTGATGTGATCATTTGAAAGTAGGCTGTTTTCTTTGTTCTGCCGTGGTGGATGTTTCGGCTCATGCTCATTAATTTGTGCTTCATACTCTTCAAACAAAAGTGGGGGATCCGTCACTTCTTGAGAGCTGCAAAGTTAGAGCGTGGAGGGAGGAAGAAATGTAAATCATTAGCTGGAAGCTGAACCAGAAATGAGGGTTAAATGGACTTTTATTTATTCTGATGATTTACTGATGATAACTTGTTTGGGGGTTAAGATGCAGCACCTGAAAACAGCAAAAAATCAGCCTAACAACCCCAATGTTTTCTCTTAAATTACAAATAACTCACTTCATGATGACACTTCATATTCATACTGTGTGAAAGATGGCTTTAAGGTGTTCCCAGCTGAGTCTTTACAAACTGTATATCTTGGGCTTTGGGGGAAACACACTTCACTTCACATGAGTTTTTCTTTTATTCAGTCACTTTTGAAGCAGATGCGACATTTTTCAAATGGTATTTATCTCATTTGAGACTGAAGGCTTTTCATTTATCTGACTCCTTGTGATTTCCCCTTTCACATTAGATTAACTGAGCAGTATTAAACAGTCCAAGACCCTGTAATCAAATCCCTCTGCTGGAAGAGGAGCTCATGATAAAATGCTGTGGTGTCATTTTTAATCAACTGAAGTGAAAACGAGTGTTTGGGGAGTCCCTCCCTATCGATGTCAGCCTGCTCCAGTAAAACAGGACATTCAAGGACCTCTGGCCCTAAGCTTTCTCCATTTGATGGGGTCAGTCCAAGGTAGGAATGGAGCCAGGAGACCGTGAATTGTGATTGTGTTTGGCCTCAGTGGTAAAGGTTAGGAGATCAGGAGTAGTGGAGGAGAAGGTCATAAAGGTGGAGGTTTTGATGAGGACAAATGCAGTGTTCCAGTGTCAGAGTCGTTCAATCATTTGTCTTGTGTATAAATGCTTTAAACCTTTAAACTCATCTCAACAGTATCTGCATTAAACACACTAAAAATAACTGGTCGGTAAATTCCAGCAAAGATCACATGTTGTCAGTTTGTTCCAGTTTTTCCCTTAAAGCTCCTGTGATGTAATTTTTTGTGTTTGTTGACTTTGGCGCCCCCTGTGGACAAAGTGGTTTTATTTAGCTGGTTTGGTCATCTGATAATCCTACAGACGCTTAATAATTAGATCATCTAGGGACTCACACATGCACTTGATTCCTAAATTAGTTAAACTGGTGGACTATAAATAAAGTTGCAAAGAAGAACTCCAAACAAAGATAGTGAGAGACTGGATAAGTTCAGAAAACATGTTTTAAGGTTATCTTGTTATTGACAACCTTGTTTTTTGAATGCAATGATATGAAACAATACACTATAAAATTAACTTTGATGTAGCAAGCTACGTTTGCCACATTGCAATAGCTTAGCTTGCAGCATTTTAGCTTTGGTCTCGCTTACTGAAGTTTCTCATAGCCTAGCTAACCTTTCAAGAGCTGCATGCCCATAGTTTCTCCTTTCTCTGTT